GAAAAAGAAGGCGACGGAAGAGCATGCTTTTCATTCCAGGATTTCTTGGACTCATCGGTGGCAAATGGTACGATGCCATCTTGCATGGAATCGCGTGCCCTTTGATCATCCTCGTGGCCTTTGCCGGGCCGGCACGCACCTCGCGTCTGTCGGTCCCGGGCCGCATGCTGGTTCGCTTGCTCTTTGCCCGGAATCCTTTCGGTTCCGCGGAGTCGGAGAGTCAGGAAGAGCGGGGACCCGAACCAGAAGAAGACTATGTCTCTGTTTGAAGGATAAACTGGGTTTAGTATGGAGTTGTGATTACGTCCAGCATGTGGTTCTTGGACCTTAGGTTTGTCTCTGAGGCAGTCTTCACTCCGATGATCGGAAACTCATGCAGGTTGCTTCTTGTTGGTGCCCAAGATTTAACCGCGACGACAGCTGACGCTGCAAAGCAATCGGCAGCTGTCCCGCAAACAGATCTGTTCCGAGACTTAAAGACCTGTGGCCCCCTCAACGCTCTAAGGAGTAAGAAGAAGCTGCGTTCGAAGTGCGGGCAGACTTCCTATCCCATGCACTTGCACAGAGATTCCATGCATGCCGTAGCGGCATCATCCTTGAATGCTTCGCGCGCTTTTTTCTTATGATGCTTGTCTCCCTTGCCGGCAGCCCTTAGTTGAAGGGAGCCCTCGCTGCAGGTGACGCTGCCAAGGCCGTTGCCGCTTTTGCCTCAGCCTCGTAGTGCTCCGTGCGCAATATCCGCAGGCCCGGACCTGAAGCTCTAGAGTCTAAAGCCCCTCAACTCAGCACTGTAAGGAGAGACCCTAAGGGGTGTGCCTTTGCAAGGTAGAGCCTGAGCTAAGCTTGAGGTTGCCATGCTTCACTTTGTTTTCTTCTCGGCCTTTGGGCTTTTGGGCCTGGGTTGTGGGCTCAGGGATGTATTTGGCTGGCTTTTCGTGTTAATTTCAAGACATTCATGGACCTGAGCTATATTCTGGAGCACTGGAACGATGGAGAAGCCCACAGTGCCCGGAATCTGTGCGAGACAGCCCAGCCTGCGGAGAGTCCGTTGTCATCGCTGCCTGCACGCGTCAGGGCGCTTCTCCATCGCCTGCGGGTGGCTGGACCGGAAGTTCAGATCACAAGAGGCACACGGCACATCGAGATTGGGATTCATGCATCTGAGCGCATCCGGTCACGTTTTCAACCTGAGACTTTGCATGCCGTTTTCGCGGAGTGGGGCAGAGTAAATCCTGTTTCGGTTCTGCCTCCGGTTGAGATAGCCGTCCACTTATGCTGTCAGCTTTACCTTATCTTGGAATGTGTTGGAGGATCGCTGGAAGAGCGCTCAGCCACAGGTCGGTCCGCTGCGGATTGAGTTCTTTGAGTCGTTCTGCGCTGCGGGTGAAATCCTCTTGGCTCCACTGTTGAGATGCTGTTTGCAGACGGGAGCCTTACGGCAGGCCCACGGCATGGCAAAGAACCTTTCGACCGGGTGCGAGCGACGTGGACGCAAGTAGGCAGACCACGGTGAGTTTTTGTTTCAGAAGTACAAACGCTTGGGATGTACCTGTCCTCAGATGCTGCCATGGTCCGTCGCGGGTGCAACAAACAAACCTTCAGATTCGGTCGGGTGTTCCGTGTGCGTGCGTGTGTGTGTGTGTGTGGTCTTTCATGGCCGGGATTCTCGCAGAGAGAGAGGTGCCTGATATTGCTCCATAAATTTCGCTGTTTAGGCGTGGACTCTGCGTCTTTTCAGTGGGTGCTCTGTGCGCTTTTTCAACGGTTGGTGTCTTTGGGGCGGGGGGGTGGTTGGGCTAACTATGTGCGTTTTCGCACCGGTTCTGCGTCCGCTCGCTTTGTTCTGTCTGGAGGGGGAATTCTCTGCTTTTGCAGCAATTGTGGTGCCTGGGGGAGGGAACTGCGCGTTTTCTTGCGGGTGTTTGAAAGGCGGCAACATGGGCTTCGATTTTGCGGTTTGGGTGTAAGGCAGGGGGAGGTGTGTGTGCTTTGCGTCTTGCTGACTGGTTGTTCTACAAACCCCAGGTGGGGGGGGGGGTTTGTGGAAGGGCGCAAGTTGACTGTTTCGAAAAGCAGCTCTTGCACACACACACACACATGTTGTCCAAATCGCACCCGGTTTTGAAACCCGTTTTTGATACACGCATGCCGAAGCCCTCCGATGAAACT